AGAGACAATACGAACAACAGATTTGCACCATCGCTCAGACAGCTGAGAACAGAGGCACTCTTCATTACGACGTTTATCAAATCCTGCTGCCTGAAGTGGAGTGAGGAGGCATGTCTGCGCTGACAGCCGCCTCTTAAAATCTTCAAACATACACTTACGCTGAGCTTTCAAGCTCATCCACTGACAGAGCAAATGACAAAATGGAACCTCCTGCGTGCTGAAGTCTGCCTCATCTGAAAATATACAACTTTTATGGTTATATGGCCACGTCTATCTCTCCCAATCCTCATGATAACACAGAGTCTATCCGCCATATGCTACTGATACAAGTCATAAAACTATTAAGCAGTGTTATGATTAGTGCGTTCAACTCTCAAAGCTTCAAATGAGCAGTTGTTCAATGGTTGTTTTTCTAACCTGCCAGCCGAGGACAAGATGTAACAACTAAGACTGCTTGCAATAAAAAGAGAAATTGGGAAACGGCTCCCAAGCTGCAGTTGAGATAAAAGCCCTTTTGGCTGCAGCGATTCGGCACTTGACCTGCTGCGTCTGCGTGTTTGCAGATGGAAGGATGGAAAAAGAAAAACATTATGGAGGGGAGCAGATTTTTTGGGGGGGTGGGGGGTTTGTCTCTGCTGATGCCTGCAGAGAAAATAAATCTGTGTTGTGGTTTTGGGACAATCCAAGTGTGGACAGTCATGCAGCTGTGAGTGAACGAGGTCAGCATATCTGTAAATCACACTGTTTGCAGATATATCAAAATGTGATGCTGGAGTTAGAAATATAAAGTTCTGAATCTTAACTATAGAGACACAGATGCTTCTTCACCTCCAGCAGAACGGACATAACTGTCATAACTCTGACCCATAATCAAGTGAGTTACCAGGAAAGAATGTCTAACGAAGGAACAGTACATTCTCAACACGACAGTCACTGTCATGAGATGGAGGTGAAGGAGCGTTTTGCACAGTTGATGTGCAGCAGGGTGATTTCTGCTTTGATTCCGTGCACAGGAGCTCAACAGGCTCTGTGTGCGAGTTATGAGTTTACAGAGGACGACTGCTTCTGACATTTGCACATTCCAAAGCACCACAAAATTTGCTCACTGTTAAGTGTTATATCACAGCAAATGCTTCACATCTGTTCATCAAAGACGCCAGAACCCAGAGGCTGTGGTTTGTTCTGTGGTCATCCAACGCGGAACTGTTTTCCCTCTTTCTTTCCTCCTCATATTTCCTGACAAAATAAGTGTTGCATTTGTGCACTGAGATGTGTGGAGGTGAGAAAGGTTTTTCGTATGTAATGCATCACTGTGTGAACAGGCCATGGGTTAGACCTCAGACTTCTGTAAAATGACCTCATGATACAATCTGATCAACATCTGACACCTCAGAAAGTCGATAGCTCGACATCGACGCAGCAAAAAGCTTCTCTGGCGTTACTGATGTGACTTCCACTTTCCCACAGGTGCTGGTAACAGGTGGAAGTCGAGGGGAGTGGGAAGGAGGTCTCGCCAGCGTGGCAGGCTGCCACAGTGGGTCGGGCGGATCATCTTCCGCCCAGCTGCTGATGCCCTGTTATCCCCGAGCCATTCATCACGGCTCGCTGAGAGTCAGATATGTGCTGCCCCTCGAACGCCGCGGCTCCAAGCATTCCTCACTGTCCCCAGTGGATCTCCACTGCTGATAGCAGTAAGGGCCATGCTGATGTACCCAAACATCCACTTCTGCATGTATTTATTAAGCTGGTTTGAATCTGTTGTAAGAGCTTAGCCACCGGTCACTCTTCACGTGTGTCTGTATAAGCTCTCCACTGCAGGTTGTGCCTTATCGCCAAACTTAAAGGACCGATATGTTTGCAGGTTAGAGCTCCTCAAACACACAGCATTTACGCTTTTGCCAACCAATTTGGAATGCATGCTATACAGTTTTAGATTTGTATAATCTTTGCAAAGCCAGTGGTTTCTAGTTCAGTAAGAAAATTAGAAAAGCCTGGCACTCAGTGAGAATATACCACCGCCAAGTTTATGTCATGCAAGTCATCACTATGAACATCACATCACGCATTAACGTTGTTGATTCTCATTACATAATGAATGCAGTGTGATTGGACTAATGTCTTCAAATCTCCATTTACCCTCAAACATCAATCAAACTTTAATATAAGTTGAAGGTACCCTCTGGAGTTTTTGAAGAGGAGAGCGATGGAGAAATGTTTTACTCGACCGATCCTTGTTTATTTCGTATCTGGTAGTATGAATTCCACTTATGGATGTGTAGTGGAGGTATGCACCAGGAAAGAAAACTAATCATGATCGATATGGAGAGGCACAATAGTGGATACTCAACCCAAGCATGTTGGATTGTGGGCACAAAAACTTAAAATGATATCTGGGCTTGGGTGGAGTTTTTTTTACAGTGCATGTGCCATTCATCCGTGAAAACTTTGGACTGGGCTTCGACAAAGAATGCAAACTGTCCGTTGGTTTCTGATCAGACTCGGTTAGTTTTTCTCTTGGGCTTGCTTGAGTTTTGACAGAAAATGGTGACCGGAGCCACTCAGATGCACAATGCAACTTTCAAAATATTCAAAGAAAATTTAGGTTTTCAAATGTTTTACATGAAAGTCAGTGTATTAAACACTTTTTTGGGGGCCTTGAGGATACAAACAGTGGAAATGAAAACTGAACACAAAAATAACTGTTGTAGTTCACAAGAAAACATCTGTAAGCAGACCTGATGTTCACTACAATGGGTATTTTTTATACAATACAAAACTGAATGGAAAGCTATGGACGTTTGTAGTAAAATAAAAATAAAATTAACTGAACTATCCAAAAGCACCTTAGTTTGTCCAATGGTAAGCTGTGAGGCAGTGTGTCCACAATGTGTAATACATACTATAAAATATGCAAAACCACTGGTACAACCAATGTAACATGCTTTCTACCCACAGTGCTATGGAGCACGGTTGTGGCTTGCAATAAATGTTTCCGCTCTGGACGCACATGCAGCAATGTGTAAAGTACAATACAATACAATACAGAAAAAGTATCCTGCATAGTGACACACACACACACGATGTTTTGACTGATGTCTTCCTCAGGAGTGCACTGGGTGTTTGCATACGACTCTAGTGTTACTCCTGTGTATGCTTTCCCTTTGACAGGCAATCCAGTGTATAATATGTCCAGGAGACGATGGTAATCCACTGGCTGACTGGTGATATACTGTAGTGACTGATGCTGAGCTTATGTAAAGATGAAGTCACAGAGAGGGAAGCACTAGTGCACGTATTGACAGAACCTTGGACAGGCTGGTCTGCAGTTAAATTCATGTCACTATTGATCGGGTGATTCAGCCGATTGATTGGGTCAATGTTGATGGATTGGAGGGGAGTGTGCGAGTCACCAGGTAACAACTGGCTTACAGCAGCATGCAGAGGGGGACTCACAGTGCAATGCAAATGAATTGACGCATCAGTACAAGGATAAACAGCTGATTTTTAGCTAAAGTTTGAGTGTGTTTACCTCTGCATCATGGCAGTGAAGGGATTGCAGCTCCATTATATAATAAGCCCCTTGTTTTAGAGGGGATACAATGTATTAAACTAGACCTCAGGAGCGCATATACAAGGCCACATACATTCCCCTTAAGATCAGCTGAGCCGTACAAAATTACACACACTCGTGGAAATCCCCCTAAACGTGCCTGATTTCTTTCATCAAGATCTATGGAACATTCACAGGGAAATCAGTGAAATCTCAAAAAAATAGCCTATTTCAATGTGAAAAAGTAAAAACGAAATTTCTTGATTCACCTGACCCATACCACATCCTTCAACCGCAGATGATGGTAATCCTTCCTGTAGATTTTGCGTTATCTTTGTTACTCCGTGCTTGTTTCCAGGTATCTTCTCTTCAGTCAGTGACACACATGATCACTTAGACTGAGGTCAGATAACTGAATTGGCTCGTGAAGAACATTTAAATGTTTGTCCGTAAAAATGTCTTGGTTTCCTGACATTTTGTCCTAAATCTGTCTCAGCATTTAAAAACTGTCTATGACTTCTACAATGTTCACCCAGAGCAGATGTGAATGACTTGAAATAAAAGCTGAGAGTCAGCACTTTAACCTCACAGTCATCATGTCATTTAAATTCCAATATGATGGAGTACAGAGCCATAACAATGAGAAATGTCTTGTTCACTGTGTAGATCCAGTAATAAATCCATAACCATAAAAGAGGTTTTCAAAGAGGGCATGGTAAAATAACATGTTCCTGTGAGGCAGTCATGCATGTAAGATACTAACTAGAAGGTTCAGAGGTCAGGGGAACAAGTTAGGAGGAGGTCATGCTTCAGTGTCTTGCTCAAGGACACTTCAACAAGGACACAGTAGACACAGTGACTGGCTGGACCTTAGACCACCCAGTCAGAGACAGCAAACAAACCAACCTGAGCAGAGTTCTGTGGCTGTACAGGATAAAAACAGACGAGACTAAAAGATCGCGATGATGCTCGGACGAGGATTGCTGATCTGCCACTAATTCACTTCATGTTAGATGCATTGTTAATAAGTGCATAACTTGAATGACATTATATACACATACAGCAGAAGCCATTGTACAGTTTGCTAATACACAAAACAGCAGTCACTCCAGTTTATTCACCCTCAAACTGAATCAATAAAATGTGGACTCATTCAGTGTGCAATGAGACATTTTAAACCAGCTAAGCCCCATTTTTGAAAAAGTTTGGTTATTTTTTGCTATGAAATTTATGAAAATCACAAAACATTGGAGTAGAAAAATAGAGAAGTGAAGGAAAAACGTCTTCTTTTCATCTTTCTGGGTTTGGAAGTTCAATGCATGTTTTGACAGTTGAGAAAAGAACTAAATTTGCATTTCTCTCGAAAAAACAAATGCAAAGTGGGAGTTCTACAATGGCTTCCCCTGCACATTCACCCCCAGCCCCCAGCCAGCCCCCACCCAGCTCTTACCACATTGTAGCAGGACCGCTTGTCAGATCCAGTGAAGTGATAGGGGTCTACGGTGTTGCACTTCTGCATGTACATCTTGAACATAGTGTTGATGTGTTTCAGGGAGATGATGCAAACGGCTGAGTTTGGAGTCGGCTCTGGAGAGTTTGGTTTTCCTCGTGCGAAGGCAGCAAACAGAACGTCTTCGCCCTCTTCCACTTTCAGCTGCTTCTGTAGTTCAACGTCATTGCCCACCTTGGTGACGTGAGCTGCCTGCAGGATGTTGAATACCTTCACATCTTCCGGGGAGCGTCGCCGCCTCTTATCGGTGCTGATGCATTCGAGGGGCATCTCCACATAGCGGCGGATCGCGAGATCTGAGGAGCACATGCGGACAATGCGTGTGTGGTAGGCCTGAGAGTCCCTGCTCACCCGCTGCACAGTCAGGAAATAGGCGAAAGGTCCACTGTGGAACGAGTAAACGTAGCGCAAGTAGTAGTTTCCATGCAGAGACGGAATCAGGTCCATGTATGAGTGGTTAGAGAAGAAGGTGAAGCCATTTTGGCTTGTCTTCATCTTCCGCAGAGAAATGGTGTGGGGATGTATTGCACTGCCAGGTACTTTTTCTAAGCCAGGGATCTCAGAGTTCCCAACAAAAAACTTGATGACGTTGCTCTCCACATTGAGCACCTGAGAGCCTGAAGGGCTGACCACAACGTCCGAGTCGCTGGGTTGACCCTTGCCTTGCCTCACCTTGTCAGCAAAGCAGTAGACCTGTTCGTCTACAGTTTTAGGGATGTCATCATCCAGGACATGACGACGGCAAACTCCATTGTCTGCAGAGCCGCAGCTGTACAAACCTTTGTCGTAAATGTTCTCCACCACCAAGGCGATGTTGTGGTTGTCCACCCTGCCGTTGGTCTCTGTGCCGGTCAGTTTGTGGCCGCATGTCTCATTGGCAAGCAGTGGCCCAGTGTGGTACTCCGAGAGCTTGGTGAGGTTTGGGGCCAGGGCATAGATTCGGTTCACAGCCCCGACGTAGATGATCCCATCCAGCATCACCATGTTCTGGATGGGGAAGTCTGCAGTGAAAGTTGGGAGCTCATAGCTGACTGAGAGGTTGAGTTTGTTGGTGTCTGATGATTTATCACACTGGCCCTGTGTGCTGGGGCACAGGGCCCACAGCAGCATGACAGCATGAAGCAAGCTGCGATTCATCCTGTTCCAGAAATAAGAGACATGAGAAATGAGTTGGTAAAGCATCCCAGCTAGAACACAAAGACCTCAAAACATTCATCAGAGATATCTCTTAATAGGTGGCCTCAATTGTTCTGGAGTGGGAATGTGAGAAAAAAGACTGAATCGGGAAGACTGAAAAGAAACAAGAGGGGCATCAATATCCCCTTTTATGCTCCTGAATAGAACTGTGTCAGCGTGTAAAACCAGGGTTTACTCACTATACCACAAGCAGTGAAACCAGTCATACTGAATTAACTGCAGTCTGTGTGGTGACACACGCCTTTTATATCATGCTCCTAATCATCAGCGCTTTTGCATCTGAATCCACTGACCCGAGAAAAACCAAGCAGGCAGACTTGGGTGAGTACTTGTGTGGTGCTCAGCTCTGACCGAGTGACCACTGCAGAAGGCAGAGCAGTGAATCACCCGGGGAGCAGCCCGCTCTGCAGGGCGACGCAACCCTGGGCCCTAAGTTTAGACAGCAAAAGCCCAAGGGAGCGGAGATAAACTCAATTAAAACAAAAGAGGTGGGAGGGAGAAGGATAAGGGGGACCGTCCCGCGAAATGATAAATAACCACAGCCACTAAATGGCAATCCACTGGGAGATGCTTTTAGTGGAGAGGGTGTGAGGGAGAGGGGGAGAGGGGGAGAGCAACACCAAAGCATTTGCAAAATGTGCATTTGCATGCTCCCTATCTGGATGTGGTTTTAACACAACCCTCAAACTAAATATGGAACCAAAACAATGAAAACCATGCAGCAGAGCCGACTTGATTTTACACTCATACCCACCGGGTTAGTATTTTCACTGATTAATGAGTGACGTCTCACTGCTGGCAGCTCATTTGTTTCATAAGTCTCAGGGAGACAGCTGAGTTTGTCATACCACCACATAATATCCAGAGGAGGAGGTAAAGACAGACCAGTAGATAAACTCCTGTTAAAGTTTGGAGCACAACATATCACGATAACACAAGAGGGTAAAAGTAGAAAGTAAAGATAAATAGAGTGGTACAGTATTAGAAGGCACTTTGGTTTATTAAGGGGTTGAGATGAGTATAAGGTTGTTTTTCTCACATTATGAGGATATGGGGGGGGGGGCATTATTGCGCACCTGCACCAAACACAACGGCTGCTCTCACAAAAAGGACAAAAGACGATGGCAAACTGTGCAACTGTTTTGAATTTGAGAGGAAAGTGACTCATGACGAAGAGTCACAGAAAACACACACATGGGAAGTTGGTAACATGGTGTGAGGAGCCAGCAACAACATTGGAGACCAGGCTGCCTGTGATTAAAACTTCTCTCAATCAGGGGAGAGGTTGTAGAGTCAGTGAACATCTCTGGAAATAAATAAAAACAATGAAGAGTCGAGAAACTAGAAGATGAAGAACTCACCTGTTAGCGAGCAGCAGAGATGTGTGTCCCCTTGGTTTAAATCATATTCCACTGGGACTTTTTTGACTTTCACATCAAGTCCGAACTAATCGCTGGGAGATGTTTCCCTCTACTCCTCTATATTCTGGAATAACTCAGAGAAAAACACTCCTGTTGGCAATATTTTAAAACTAAGTCTGACTCAGTTTGTTTACCAAATCTTCTCCGTTGTTCTCCAGCTGAACTCAGTGAGGAGCCCCTCAGACTGAATGAACGCATCCAGCAGAAACACGCTGCGCGCCGTCTCTCTGCTCCTCTGGCTGTGCGTAAAAGCTCCTCCTCCGCCTCCTCCTCCTTCTCCTCCTCCTCTCCAAACTGCGTGACGCGTCCAGGTGCTGCCACGCCGGGGCTCTTCATCCCGTGGAGCTCAGGTGAGACAGGAAAAACCGAGAGAACAATAAATTATGAGCTCTCCTCAGTATTATGATGTAGCGCAAAACCACCAATTACAACTGGATCCGTTCCATCATCAGCCAGACACTTACTGATGAGTGCTTCCTGTCATTGTTACGCATTCTGATAACTTCATACAACTTTAATCAGTGTGTATCTTTTCAAGTCTCATATCTAAATGGAATAAAGAGGAGAAAAATCCTTATGACTCAACAGGAATTAATGATAAACCGTTTTGAGGGAATTGTCCAACATTATTTTCTCTAAAGCGATTATTTTAAACAAATTAAATTCAGAAAACTTTATTATTCAAAGATTCAAGGAAATGTTTTGTCATATATACAAATACAAGGTATCTATCTATCTATCTATATATCTATATATATATATATATATATCCATCCATGTAACCCTGCAACTATAAGACAAGGTTAAACAAACAGGTCACATGTCGAGGAAACTTCTGTCTTTCTTTCTCCAGCACCTGACTCTCCTCTACCACCTTGGTGAGTCAGGTTGTCATGTTAAAGGAGTCACTCAGGCATAAATAATGATCTAAGTTATAAAGGCTAAACTGTGTGTGCGTGTGTGTGTGTGTGTGTGTGCCTCAGCCATGAATCACAGCGGGCAACACAAAAATTCCTTTGTCCCACTTCCTGAAAGGAGGGCATGGAATGGAGACTGGAAACCCTGATAACAGTGTGGATGTAGAAGTAATAGGTGCAGAGCTGATGGGATGAGGCACAGCGTCTGTTTGCGTTTCACTTTGAGACATGCACACAGCGACATGTGAGGGTTTTAATTTGACAGACACAGGTGACAAGTGTTCAAGTTTTGAGACCACTGATCTGATTAACTAAAAACTCTAGTGTCCTCTTGTTTGAGGATGTCATATCAGTGAGGTTGCTGCAGAGCAACAGTTACCTCTGTGCTCCTCATTTTTAAATTCATCGGCCTTTCACCTGCCAACTCCCTGGTTTCCCAAAGGAAAACACTGTCCCCTCTGACGTCCCACCAGAGAGCCCTTAAACTGTCACTGTGCACTTTACTTCACCTTGATGGATTACTGCAGAGGAATTTGAGTAACCAAAAACTCTATTCTATTTCAGCTAAACTGCACAATGATAAATACAGAATCCAGAGGTTGACTTCCCTAACACACCCTCCAGCCCAATTTTCTTTACGATGCACTTGAAGTGCATAACAGTGACATCACAGAGCAGTGGAACTCATCACCCCTGTAAGGGTATTTTTGTACCAATGCTACACACACACCGACACAATCTGAACGAGCAAAACATATTTTTTGGTTTTTTGGGATCGTGGACAAACAATCAACCTCAAACTAACATGCTCGGGAACTTCAAGCATATGTTTCCCAAGCTGCCACTTCTCATGAATCCTGTTTCTCCTGCATCTATGAGAAGAAGATGTTTCACAACTCGCTCCTCTTCTCACTGTTTGTGAGGGGAGTTGTTTTTTCCCTACCTCGGGCCATTTTCTGTCTCAGTTGCCAAGGGGTGTGTCTGACAGGGTGTGTGTGTGTCTGCATGTGTCTGACTCTATACCCGAGGGGTGTGTCTGTGTGGCTCCTGTGGTGGTGAACTCTGCTTTGGCTCAGGCCCTACTGTTGGCAGGGCGGCAGGAGAAGAGGAGGAGGAAAGAAGAAGAAGAAAAAAGGAAAAGGTTGCAGCGGTGGTGAACATCTCACCACTGGTATGACCGATGTGGAAACCTCAGTGTGTGACACAAACCTTTGGAATGATTTGGAATAACAACACCTGCAACACAACCACAAGGCACTTTATGTTTTCTGTGCATTCTTCCTCTTCATGTGCTCCAGGGTGCACAGTAGCTGGGACAAAGAGGAAGATCTGAGATTTGACACTTCAACCCCACTACAACAGCATGCCGATGACTTGTTATGGTGCCATCTGCTGGTGCTCAGGTGAAAACCCATTGTTGGTCCCTGGAGTCACGAAGGAGGCCTCGGGTTGGGTTCATTTCCAAGCTATTGAAGAGAGCGTGCAGCGAGTAATGTCACAGACAAAGACTGGGGATTATCAGGGAGGAGCAGGGATACACTCAGTCTTGATTTGACTCTCACCAGTCGCCCGCACCTCAACCAGGTCCACAGGAGGTTATTTATCACCTGCAGGGTCAATACAAACCCTGGTTAACTGCTGAGCACGACTGTAAGCTGTGATTGATGCTCTTGCTTTCATCCCACAGATGGACTCCTGAGCTCTCACGGATCACAGAGCGGTGATCAAGCGATTGCCGCCTCCATCGCAGTGAGCCGTGTATCTTCATGGACAGGTGTCTTCAGCAGGATCATTGCACATCATAGTGGCTCATAAAAGGTTACGAGAGGTTACAGGGGTCAAGGGAGGTACAGTCAATATTATTCTCTGTACTGTGAGGGAGCACTTCACTGACTGCTGATGAAGACTGCTCACAAATATTAAGTGTAGATAGGTATTACAGTAAAAGTCTGGCTCCCACAGTGTTTTTTAGGTTTAATACATGCAGGGAGGTTTTTATAGGTGAGAAAAGCTGTATCTTTTCATCTGAATTCAATGTTGTACTGGTGGTTGATTACTAGACTCACACTCAGGTAATCATACCTGATAGGATTCCAAAAATTTACTCCAATGTGGAAGGCAATGCTTTTTTTTGTTAAAAATATGATCTTTGTAATTGAAATTGTTTTAGCTCATGTTTTCTGCTGAGTGCCTTCATTCATAGTAGTAGTGGTTTTATCCATATCCTCTCTCTCCTCTCTTTTTTCATTTATTTCCAGGGAATAATGCATGGTGAGGATTTTCATTCTTGAAGAAAAAAAGAGCTGGTACATTTAGTGAACTGATTTTTATGATTTGGTGCAGCTTGATTGGATAAGGAGACTGTTGGGCCATGGCGGAGGATTGCTCTCTATTCACTTCCTTCTAAACTCAGCTGTTTATGTTACTATTTATCTAACATTTGTGTAAATAAGTGCAGTAAAAAAATAAATGTTTTTAATCAATAATAATTTATTCTCATCTCACAATTAAAATGTTAACAAAAAACTGGAATGCAAAAAACTTGTTCTAAGGCTCAATCATCTTAGGTATTTTTAGAAATTGATTAGAAAGAAAACTGACGATACAAAAATTAATGACAATATTCCCCTGATTTTTCATGGATAATTATTTTGCTAATACATACTAATTCCTACCTGTACCAAAACGTTTCTCACGTCTTGGTCTCAGCCTCACCAGTAATCAGGGTCAGAGTTCCTGCTAGAGGACTACAGACTCCGTAATTCATGTCTGGAGAGATCAGCGTGCCCATCTTCCATTACCTGTGTGTTAGATAAAGACACACACTAATGAAAAAGAAAAACTAAAAGATTACCATCTCATACATCACAGGAAATGCTCCCTGCAGCCGGCGGACAAGAAAACTGCCAATAAGACTCTGCTGCGTCTGTATCTGACAATCTGTGCAACAACAACCCAGCTCATATGAAGTCCCATATGATGAGCATCAGTGGACGTTATGAATATAATTAAGAGGGAATCGTATCAGCTCAGGAAAGGACACATGAAGAATACCAGCACATATTTCAGCCATATGCTGTCTCATAGTAATGGAGAATGACACAAACGTGTTGCTTGGACAGAAACAGGTTGATATTTGTTAAAAACATCTTCAACATATTTTTAAATGTTGTACAGAGAAGATAAATTACTATAAGACCTCAGTGTTTCACGTACGTAAACCCAGATTTAAATACACTACTGTTCACTGCTTCTTGCTGTTTCTGTGATGTAATCAAATTAAATGTAATAAATGATAATAAAAATGCTTTATTTCTATTCACAAAAGAAACAAATCTTGACTGCCAGATTTCCACTTCCTTGTGTTGAGTCATTCACATCCTGTTTAACAGTTTATGTGAAGCTTTCAAGAGCTCTTAAACTCTCCGGCCCTTGTTGTTTATCCGTGGAAGCTTCGACTAAAATAAACCACAGTCAAGGGGAAGTGAAATATCTGCATGACATTTGGGCCTTTTGCTGCATGTACATTTGCCTCCCCCTTCATACACTGTATCTGTAGTCAATCTTATTGTGTGTTCTTTTCACGTTTTGATTTGAGATCCAACTGCAAATTCACAATATCACTTTTACAAAGATGGTCTAAATATCATCCAGTGATGTAAAATCATGTAGATCTGGAGAGGATGGAGGCTGTTGTTGCTTTAATTGTACGTACTTCTGCTCCTCTTTGTTCTTGAGTGTGTGAATTAACAATCAGCCTGCTTCCAGAACAAGAGAGATATGGCAAATGGTCTGGATTTATATAGAGCTTTTCTTGTATTGATGACCACTCAAAGCTCTTTACAGCAACATTTTATCATTCAACCATTCTCAGTTTTTATCCAGCGGAAAGACATACTTATTGAATATTATCAAAACTGGTGACCTGAATTATTTGGAAAATAATTCGCGGCTATAATAACCACGTTTAATAACCACATTTCAACAAAATATATTGACAAAAATATTTATATTTTACCTCAAACACTACATCAAGTTCCACTGTCTGTGGTGTTCTGAACACAGAGTTCAAAAATCTTGAATGCAGGAAAACTGTCATGTGTCATGTTTCCAGTTTCAAAATGCACCAAAGGAAAACACGAGGAGTGATCACCAAACAGCGCCACCTACAGACAATCCATCAAGACAATTCCTGTGAACAAGACGTCATGGTGAGACAGTTTTAACAAATGACACAGATTCACCTTTCAAGACCTACTGCATGAAGCTGTTGTTTGTTCAACTCTGAGCACACATGTGGTAAAAGTGACGTGACATTTCA